GGAGCAGGGCGGGGGCTGCCAGGTGCCCTGCGCCAGACGCCCCACAGCCGCAGGACCCAGGTCCACTTCCGCTGTCACTGTGAGTCTCTGTTCCTTTCAGTGAAAACATTCCTGACCAACATGCTTTACCCCACTGCCCGGTCCACGCAGCCCCACAGGGCTAGTCCTTCACCAGCACCCTGGGTCTCCGGTACGGGGTGATGCCCTGTGAGACAGCTGCCACAGTCACCCACTAGTAAGTCACTGAACCTCAACTCAGATCCAGCCCTGAGGTCAAAGCCCGGGGTGCTCAGCGTCTCCTCTCTACCACCTCATTTCCATCTCCTGGGGTGCCAGAAGCGATGTACCACACACCAGCTGGCTCTGAACCACAGAAATCCGTTGTCTCACAGTTCAGGAGGCTGAGAGCTGAGACCAGGGTGCCACAGGGCCACCTCCCTCAGAAACCTCCGGAGACGACCCTCTTCCCACCTGTGGCAATGCCGGCCAGCCTCAGCGCCCTCGGCTCTGGGTGACAGCGCTTCAGGCCCTCTCCGACATCCCACAGATTTCTCCTCCCAATCTACTTCAAGTCTCTCCACATGTCCTAGTGGTTGGGCCCCCCCAACTCAGTATGACCTCACCTGCCCTGATTGACCCTACAGAGACCCTCCTCCCACATGCAAAGAGTGGTCAAAACGTATGACAAATGTTTAAATTTAAACATTTATTACAGTAAAAGACACATCACCATTAATTCTTCTCAAAATACTCCCCCTCACTTTGAACACACTTATCTCATTCAAAATTTGCCACTTTTTGAAGTAGTTTTGGAAGTCTTCCTTCATGAGTGTCTCTATAAGGTGTGATCAAAAATAAGGTGAATGCTGCTATCCAATACCATCTAATAGAAAGGCAGTCTCATTAAAACATTGCAGTGTGTCCTCATCCACCTTATCCACCAGATCTGGCATCTCGTAACTCTGACTCTTCCCTAAAGTCAAATTGACCATGAAATATAAAAATTTTGAATCTATTCAGGATATTAAGGCAGCCAAGACAACACAGCTAAAGACACTCATGCAAGAGGAGTTCCAGAGCCGCTTCAGAAAGTGGAAAGAATAATGGGATAAGTGTGTTCAAAATGAGGGCAAGTATTCTGAGAGCTATTGATGCCAATATATCTTTAACTGTAATAATTTTTTTAATTTAAACATTCACCAGATTTTTCAATTATAAGTCAGATTCACAGGGCCTGGGGCTAGGACTTCAACAGGACAGAACTTGACCCAAACATACCTCTACAAGATGAAATCTGACTGAGGAGAGAAATGAGCTAAAAGATTTATCCATCAGCCCATCCAGGAAACAGGGAGGAGGCACTCACCTCCCTCTCTCTTTCTCTCTCTCTCTCTCTCTCTCTCTCTCT